AAAGCTTTTAGAGATAAGGATCAAAGTTGCTTTACAAAAAACAGCTAACTTGGGGCTACTTCCTGACAAGTCACAGCTTTCTTACTTAAATTATCTGTGTGGTATACATGAACTAATTGATCTTTATAATATACAGTCACCACATTTTTGAACAATGGAACAGTTGCATCTTGAATCTATGGATCTATGAATCCATGGATAACTCCTTCTGCATGCTAAATGATTTCAAGAAACGAGGTCATGTACTGGACAAAGTAAAGGGTATGCTGTATTTTTTAACAGTGAAGGGCTATGCAGAGTTGCTCCAGTTTAAGCCTACTGATTTCAGTTAGTTTGGTGGTTGAAAGTGCTGTCATCTTGCCTTGGAACATCTTTTTTCCCCCAACTCTCCTTTAGATGTTTAGTTATTTGACAACATCAATCCTCCTGCAATGGTCTGAAGACCTCAGAAGCTTCCTACCTTTGTGATATTTTACTTGGTCCTAATAAAGGGTCTTACCCTACTGTTATCTATCTGTCTCCCTGCCTGCCTGCCTATCTTTACACCCCACTCTTCTCCCCAGTGGGGACCCAGCATCACCACTTCTCCTCCATTTCATCCCCACAACAATTATCCTGTGAGGAATTTAGGCTGAGACTGACAGATTCAAAGTCACCCAGCAGCAAACTTCCTTGATAGATTTAAACCAGATCCTAGTCTGACACTCTTACCACAAAGCGGTGATCCCAGTGTGTAGCACGTAGCAGGCTACCCTTGAATTGTGGATTGTTAAAATGTATAAAGAAACTTAAAGGACACTATCCATATCCTATTGAAGACTATGGTAAAATGTCAATTGATTGGAAAACGTCCAGTTGTACCAACATTTCTGGTTTTATATGCACCATTTCCCCCTAACATCCACAATTTTTATAGATGTATCCCTTATGCCTACTAGGTCAAAAACATAGAAAATTTCAAGGTCAAGTATTTCTAAGCACAGTCAATTAAAAAACCTTTAAAAGCAAATGGAGTAATTCCAGCACTTAGTGGCCAGCTCATGAACCTTTTATCTATGTGCAGAGATAGTAAGAAGGAATTGAGCGTTCTACAGAAGTGAATGGTGACATAAGCCTAACAACATGGACAATGCAGAAATCTGAAACTAATGTTGGTATACTTAACTAAGATAACTTAACTAAGTGTTTAAGAAAATATTTTTGTTTGCGTACAGGTTAACCATAAACTACATTCAACTTTTCCTGGATTATCTTAAGTTTGGAAATGCAGGAAGTGCAAGCTTTCAATGAAGGAAAGTATGCATTTCCAGCACTGGTTGGTTTAATAAAAGAAATGGCCTCATTTACTCTATTTTTATTCTATCAAGCCAGCACAGCTATCAAAGACTTTAATTAAGCCAGATTCCATGCAATTAATGTTTTTAAAAGGAAAGGTCTTACAAGAGATGTCAGTTTTACATTTTAAGCTATTTTGGTCTTATCAGAGAGGGTGGAACTGTTTTTTTTAAACTTGACATGAAGACTAAGATATGGGTGGTTAATTGGCGCCCATGGATAGATGCTATAGTTAAACTGCTGATGCTACAGGGTAAACCTCATATTCCCCACACACCCCCGGAAGATCCCACCCTTTCCCTTCAATCTCAGACATATGGAAGTTTGCTAGAATTAAGGAAAGATATTTTGCACATGCCTTAAGTAATGTTGCTATAATTTTATATATTAGACAGTTGAAGTCTAGCAGACTACATTGACTGAAATTATTCCCTGATTAGGTGCCATACAAAATAAAATATAATAACTTGGCCCAGACCAGCCTGATCTCATCAGATCTAGGAAGCTCAGGGCCGGCCCTAGTTAGTATTTGGGTGCGAGACTATCAAGGGATACCAAGGTCATGGCACAGAGCCGGCAATGGCAAGACCACCTCTGAACATGTCTTGCCAGGGAGGAACAGGATCCCATAAGTTAGCTGTGACTTGATAGCACACACAAACACACACACACACAACATGGTAAGAGTGAATGGAAGAATTGCCTTGCTCAATCCAACCAACAATCCATCTAGTTTAGCACTCATTTTTAAAGACTGATAAGTCAGAAATTCACAGTCAGGTCAAGATGTAACAACATAAGAGAAGGCATGTTGGATCAGGCCAAAGGCCCATCCAGTCCAATACTCTGTGTCACACAGTGGTCAAAACCCAAGTGCCATCAAGAGGTCCACCTGCAAGGCCAGAACTCCAGAAGCCCTCCCACTGTTGCTTCCCAAGCACCAAGAATACAGAGCATCATGCCCCAGACATTGTGTTCTGTTGTCGCTAATAGCAACTGATGAACCTCTTCTCCATATGTTTACTCAATCCCCTCTTGAAGCTGTTTATGCTTGTAGCAGGCACCACTTCCTGCGGCAGTGAATTCCATGTCTAAATTACTTTTTGGGTGAAGAAGTACTTTCTTTTATCTGTTCTAAGCCTAATGCTCATTAATTTCATTGAGTGCTCACACGTTCTTGTACTGTGAGAAAGGGAGAAAAGTACTTCTTTCTCTGCCTTCTCTGTCCCATGCATAACTTTGTAAACCTCTGTCATGTAACTCCTCAGTTTTCATTTCTCCAAGCTAAAGAGCCCTAACCTCTTTAACCTTTCTTCATAGGGAAGATGTTCCACCCCCTTAATAATTTTAGTTGCCCTTTTCTGAATCTTTTTCAATACTATAACATCTTTTTTGAAGTGCAGTGACCAGAACTGTATACAGTATTCCAAATTAGTCTGCACCATAGATATATACAGGGGCATTATGATACTGGCTGATTTGTTTTCAATGCTCTTCCTAAGAATCCCTGGCATAGCATTTGCCATTTTTATTGCCATTACTGAATCAACATCTTCAGTGAGTTATCTACCACTACTCCAAGATCTCTCTCCTGGTCAGTTACTGCCAGTTCAGACCCTATCAATACAGATTTATAGTTAGGATTTTTGGTTCCAATGTGCATCACTTTGCACTTGCCCACATTGAACCTCATTTGCCATTACTTTCTTTGTTAACCATGCAGGCCTTTTAAAATACCTATCTGTACCTTTCCTAACCCGTGGTATTCATTTTATCTGAGCTTCCAGAATTGTAGTTTTAAATAATTTCCAAGCTTCCCAAAGGGATTTGACCCTCCTTACTTTTTCTCCAATTTCTTCTTCACAAGCCCCCTTCCTCCCTACACCATCATTTCATCCACACACTGAGACTCCTAATTTGTGCCTGTCTAGCTGGCTCTCCGCGTGGAACAGACAGCACTTCTGAGAAGGCTACTTTGGAGGTCCTGGTCTTGAGTCTCCTGCCTAGCAGGCTAAATTTTTCCTTCAGGACCACACAACTACATTTCCTCACATCGTTGGTGCCAATGTGTACCACAACCACTGGCTCCTCCCCAGCACTGTCTACCAGCCTATCTAGTGTCCACATGTAATGTTTGCTACCATCACACCAGGCAGGCAAATCCCCATACAGTCAGTACATGGGTTCAGAACCCATCTATCTACATGCTTAAGGATCGAATCACCAAATACCTCCTACCAAGAGCCTTCCTTCCTCTCAACACAGAGATGATTCCTTGGTGCGAAAGGATCCTCATTCACCAACTGTAGAAGGGGTCCCTTCTGAGACAACATTCCCCCTTTCTTCGGCATGATGCCCTGTTTTCCCTTGAACCTCATGCTCCCTGACAGCAGCTGGGCTGCCATTCTCAGAGTGGGACACATCTAACAAGAGTCTCCAAGAGTCTTATCTGTGGGCCTAATTGACTAGCTCTGCTTCTCCAGGTTAGCCACCTTGGCCTCAAGGGAGCAGACTTGTTCCCCGAGAACTAGGAGCTCCTTGTACCGAGCACACACCCATGACTTCTGTCCAGCGGGGCAGATAGTCATACATGTTGCATTCAGTGCTGTATTTCCTACATTCCATGTCGGGCTGACCCTTCTTGTTTACATTTTCTTCTTCATTACCTCTTATGTTGGGATAAAAACCTAGACTTCAAAGTGCTGCAAGACATCCTATTTTTGCTGCAACAGACTGATATGGCTACTGTTCTGGAATTACACATATAAAATATGGCTACTGTTCTGGACTTATACATATAAATATGTTAGCCTTTTGTCTGTCTCAAGCCTTTCACCTGAACTAGGTAGAACAGCAGTTAAACCTGACGAAAAGACATGCACTCTAAGTGTGGCAGAAGGGGCTTTACCACGAAATCCAGTCCCTTTAGCAGTGTAAAATGGCATAAATCAGTGTATAATCAATGCTAGCCCTGCCCCAAGCTATGGACATTCACCTTACCTTTAGCCCAAGACGCTTTGAGCATACTGCCATACACAGCTGAGCCATGAGTACAGAGACTTTCAAATGTACACTTTAGAATACTTGCCCGTCTTTCCCTTTCTCTTAGCCTAACCTGCCTCACTGGATTGTTGGAGACTTTGGAAGGACAGATTCCAAATGCAGCTGCTCAATAAATAAACAAGCCCAGCAGTTGAGTACAACATGGTCGTATTACTATGTCATCAGCTGGCACTGGCAATGCAGGCTCAGAGCATCCTGAGGCAGACTCCAGCTGCTGAATCCTGCAA